CGCCACAGCGCCTACCACGACCATCACTATGCACATTACTGCCCTCATTCTCACCACCGAGATTATTCCCACCGCGGCTACGACCACCACCACGACTACCACCACTAGTGCGCGTGTTAGTGCCAGTGCCAGTGCTAGTGCTAGTGCTAGTGCGACCTACTACCACGACGACCACTTGCGATTAGTTGTTCTATCGCTTTATCCTTACAGGTGCTAGCACCACCACGACCGCAACCACCCAACTGCTAGCATTGCTAGCCCCCCACCATCACTACACCATGCCTGGGGCAAGGGGGCGGTGGCGGTGATCGTGAATGAGGTTGTGGCGGCAGCTGTGGCAGTCGCAGAAGTGGTAGTAGTTGTGTCGGTAGAAGTCGCAGGAGTAGTAGTAGTAGTAGTAGTAGCAGTAGTAGCAGTAGTAGCAGTAGTAGTAGTAGTAGTAGTAGTAGCAGTAGTAGTAGTCGTAGCAGTAGCAGTAGTAGCAGTAGTAGTAGTAGTAGTAGTAGTAGTAGTAGTAGTAGTAGTAGTAGTAGTAGTAGTAGTAGTAGTAGTAGTAGCAGTAGTAGCAGTAGCAGTAGTAGCAGTAGTAGTAGTAGTAGAGTAGTAGTAGTAGTAGTAGTAGTAGTAGTAGTAGCAGTAGTAGTAGTAGTAGTAGTAGTAGTAGTAGTAGTAGTAGTAGTAGTTGTAGTAGTAGTTGTAGTAGTAGTAGTAGTAGCAGCAGTAAGAGTAAGAGTAGCACACGTAGTCGTAGTCATCGGTAACAGTAGGTAGTAGCTGAAGTAACATCATTGGTCGTAGTGGCAGCCATGGAAGGACGCCACACACGAAGGTTTGGTAGAGAAAGGGATGAGCAGGAGAAGTAGGACTGCCACGGCCACCAGCACCCCATCAAGGCAAAACAGTCGTGGAGTAGCAGGCCCCATGTTTAAAAGAATTCGGCCGGTTGCGCAAATGCTCCAAAGTGGAGTTCGGTTGGAATTGCGCACGCCTTAGATTCAGAGAGTGCTCATTGAAATTGAAAAGGAGCCAGATATGATTCAATAGATCTGGAGGCCCGAGAATCAGAGGATGCTCATAGAGTTCGACAGCGCATCTCGATTGTAGGAATTATATAGGCATGGTTTTGAGTGAATCGTTGAAAAAAAGATTCACTAGGAATGGAACAGGCCACTGGATCAGATAATTGCCTTTGAATACGCTTGGAATCCCGACTGGAGCAATAACCAGTTGCAGACGACTTCAACCAGATGTGAACTAGGGCACAATAGGAGTTCGATCGGGATGGAACAAACACCAGTTTCAGAGGAATGCCATTGGATTTGAACTGAAATCCGATAGGAATTCAACAGGAATTGCGAGAGAGGCCTTAGATTCAGTATATGTCAGTCAGGTTCGTATCGGAATCCATCGAAATTCAATCAGATTGGAGGATATCCCTGGTGCAGAGGACTTCGATCAAAGTTGAATTTAGAGTCGTTGAGCTTTCAATGAGGAAACTTCAAGATATAAATCAGGAAGACAACTTCGCGAAAAGGAATCTACAAGAATGCAAAACATGCAGTAAATAGAAGCATATTTCCCTTCCACCCCACCCCACCCCCTTGGCTGGGAAGGGATCAAAGGGAGGGGCTCCCCTCCGAATGGGAAGCCGAGGGAAGTGGGGTGGGAGGGAGGGCGCCGTCCACAGGGGGGGGCCACCCCCCAGGACCCCCCCGGGGGGATGGCATTCTTACCCGGGATCCCCTCCCCGGGGGCCCCCCTTGGGGAGGGGAAGGGGCAACACTCCCCCCCCTGGTAGAGAAGAGGTCAAAAGGAAAGGGTCTCCCTTCGAATGGAAAGCCAGGGGAAATGCGAGAAGCGGCGTCCACAGGGGGAGTGGGCGCTCCCCGGGACCGCTTTGCGGGGGATGGCTTTCTAACCCAAGACCCTCTCCCTTTGCGGGGAAGGGGTCGAAAGGGAAGGGGCTTCCCTTCGAATCAATTACGACGTTGCTCAATGTCCTTTTGGCCAGCGCCCTGGAAGAGAAAGTCCAGACAACGACGAGGACACAGCCGCCTCTCGCCGAGCCATCGCCTCACCACCCACCGTCTCACGAGATCTCGCGCCCGCGTCTCTCGTGCGCGCCTTCAGGGACGCCCTGCTACCTCTGTCCAGCCACCTCGCCCTTTCGCTGCACATCAACTCAGCACTCCCATTCAATGCTCGTTTGGGGGAGCTTCTTGGGGCACACATAGTGGAGCTGTTCGACTCCAGTTCGACTCAACTTCGACTCAGGTTCGACTCGAGCCAACAGACGTTCGACACAGCTTCAACGCACGAGCGGAGCGATTGGCTCCAAAAAGGTCCCCAGAATGAGCATCGAACCCTCGCCGCCCAGAGCGTCTCGCACACGCCAACAGGGTCGGCAGACTTTATGAGGAGGGAGCTGACTTGGCAGGCCCTCTGGCGCGCCCCGCCAGAGCTGAGCTCCCTGGGCCGGCACCTGGAGCTCCTGGCGGGCATGCTGCGGCCGGCGTCGCACGGCCGCTCGGCGCAGGCAGGGGGCTTTGCGCGTCCAGCCTCGGGGGGCGTCGATCGAGCAGTGGCGAAGCGTGCTGGCGGCTTGCCTGCAGGCCCGCCGAAGAATGTTCTAATAACTCGTTGAGGTCTGCACGAAATTGTCTTTGAACATTCCTAGCCGCGACTGTCTTGTTTTAGCACGTCGGAATCGTGGTCGAAGAATATTGTGTTCGTTATTGGTCCGTCCCCAAGACATGCTCGCGTCGAGAAAAATCAGGACGGACAGAGGTTGGTCCATTTTCGGCCTTCGAGGGCCCTCGCCGGGCTCCAGGACCGACAAGACGGCTCGGAACGAAAAACAGGCCCTGGGAAAAAGGTCCGAACTTCTGGGGACCGCGCTCTGCAAAAATCAAGGCATCGCATTGAGAGAACGCCCACCCAGACCAGTCGGCGGAGGAAATCTGCACCAGCTCACGCGACATCGGGATTCGAGCGTGCCGGTGTAGTCTGCCAGCGATTTCGCTCATCGACGTGCGGTTCGCCAGATACACTCGGGTGTTCCTGGACGTCGGCGAGCTACCCCGCAGGGGTCCACTCGGAGCGCTGTGCCGTGCGCACGTGGAGTGCCTCTGGCAAGTTTCGTGGGGGGGCGTGTCTCCTCCTCCTCCTCCTCCTCCTCCTCCTCCTCCTCCTCCTCCTCCTCCTCCTGCTCCTGCTCTTCCTGCTCCTGCTCCTCCTCCTCCTCCTCCCGCGAGGGCAGAGGGTGGCGCGCCCAGCCCGGGTGCGTCGAAGAGCCCGGGTCTCCGACGATGCAGTCAGCCCGCACAGTAGGGATGGGCAGCCTTCCCACAGGGTACCCCCTCGGTCGTCCGACCGTGATCGAAAGGGCTAGGAGTGGGGGGAGGAGGAGGAGGAGGAGGAGGAGGAGGAGGAGGAGGAGGGAGGAGGAGGAGGAGGAGGAGGAGAGGAGGAGGAGGGAGGAGGAGGAGGAGGAGGAGGAGGAGGAGGAGGAGGAGGAGGAGGAGGAGGAGGAGGAGGAGGAGGAGGAGGAGGACGGTCGTTGAAGGTAGGTATTTTGGGGTTCCCAGATTCCAATGTATTTGAAGCGCCCTCCTACTTCAATGATCGAGTGGCTCCACCTTGCTCGTCCTCCTTAGTGGGCGGACGGAACCCAATCCATTTTCAACGCCTTCCTACTTCATGCTCCTACCTACTTCCTCCGACCGCTGAATGAGTATGGGCAGCCTTCCCAAGGGTACCCTTGCATCCTTGCCTCCTCGGTCCCTCCTTGGCCACTTTCGTGGGCCGCGCCCCGCTCGGAAGGCTTCAGAATGGCCTTCCAAGGCCCTTGCATCCTTATCGTGCGTCCTGTAGGCGGTTATCAGCGGATGCCAAGATGGTTTTCTCAGGGCCAACCTAGCCATGAGTGGGTTGCACATGCCCTAAGTGGTTTAGGGGGATGAGCGATCCGGGCTAAGTGGGCTCAGCCCACTCAGCGGAATGTTCTTGCCCCCGTTAAGCAATCTGGTGCATGTGTAGCGCACGTATAAGCTAGATGAGGCTAAATACTACCCACCTTGGTATCCACTGCTGAGCCCTTTATTCCCTTAGCAAGCCCCGCGACGATCCCAATGCGAGTTTTGCCCACTGGCAGGCGTTCCTCGATTTCGGTCCTCGGGTGCCGTCTACGGGCCCCGGAACCTTCAAAAATTAGTTTGGGATGGAAAACCGTCCATGGGGAAGCGGTCGGGACCTCCCTGGGGCCGCCGAATGGAAAATCATTCAGGCGGATACCTGGTCATCGGGAAGTGTGCTGGTCTGTGGCCCCGACCTCTTCGCGTCGTGAAAGATCACGGCGCCAGGTGATAGGCTGATTTCAGTTTCCGGGGGCCCGAGGGCGGTAGAAGAACCGCTCGGGGTGAGAAGCCAGTCCCCAAAAATGGGTGCAGAGTTCTGTGGAGCCACGTTGTGGATAAAATGCGACGTCGGATGTGCCAGGTAGTTGCGCGCAGCCTGCGTCGGCCCTCATTACGCTGCCCGCGTCGCATCGACAAGAGCTTCGGTGGGCAAGCACCTGGTGGCGCCAATACGCGTTCTGAGGATCATCGAGAGGAGGAGGAGGAGGAGGAGGAGGAGGAGGAGGAGGAGAAAGGAGGAGGACCAGTGCAAACCAAAGACTTACCAACGATGAATGAACCCTTCCTCCAAGCTCCTTCTTCACAGGCCCCTTTTCGGATCTAATTTCACTGGGGGCAGTGCCCCGTTGGAAAACATCAGTTCGAGAATCCTGAACCGTGCCCAAACACCACCAACGTTATTGTTGCGTCCTGGCGATCCTGAATCGCGCCAGGGCACCGCTCCTTGAACTTCACCCCCGCAAATCAATATGACAATTGCGCCCTGACAGTCCTACATCGTGCCAAATCACACTTTCTGGAACGTCGACCATAAGAACCATTGAAACTGTTGTAAGCTCGTAAGGCGAAAACGTACGGCGCTAA